TTGGTTTAATGGTTGGTGCATAAATTTGAATAATAGTGGTATTAACTTGTCTTATTTGTAGGTATATGGTTATTATCACAGACTACATTATAAGTAAAGATAGATCTTGAAATTTTCTTTTTGATGATGAATGTGAACCCATTCCTCTTCAATTTGTCATTCCCAGCATAGTAAATCATGTGATCCAGATTGAAAATGGCCAATACCAGTCCATTTCAATTCACTAATGCTTAGAATATTTATTTTTATGCATTTCATCTCATTCGACAACTTCCAATTTTCCTAGCTTCATACTTCCTACATCCCATGTTCCAATTGTTAATGGATGTTTGCAGCTGTTTATCCTCATTTTGGTTTTAACCCATCAACCAATGAAGATACCAAAAACATTCTTTATTAATTCACGTCGTTATAGTCAACTCTACTTAGAGGAGGCAGCTCTTCCCCAGTCATATTTTGAGTGCTTCCAACCTGTGGGGCTCATCTTCCAGCACTATATTTGACAATATTCTGGTGTTACTCATTATGTTTCAATATTCAATATTCTGTGCTATCCAACAGTGTTTCATTGCTCTTCATAAGGTTTTCAGTGGCTAATAATTTGGAAGCAATCCTTTCTTCATCCTCCTAATCTTAGTCTGGAAGCTCAGATGAAATCTGTCCACCATGGGTGACCCTACTTACATTCACAATACTGATGACACATCTTTTAGCATCACAGCAACATGCATGTCACCACAGTGTGACAAACTGACAGGTAAGTTGTGGTAGAAGTTAGAAGAATTCTTTAGTTTCTTCATCTTTGGCTTTAGTGATTTGTGTGTAATTTGAAGAATAGTCATATTCCTTGTAGATGTTTTAATATTATCCTATCATAGACAGCATTGTTTTTTCAGGCTAGACGTTGAAATGTTCTTTTTGACAATATATGTGACACCATTCGTCTTTAATTTGTCAGTCCTTGCATAGTAAGTCATATGATTGTCCAATTCAAAATGGCCAATACCAGTCAATTTCAGCTCATCAGTACCTAGGATGTTGATGTTCATGAGTTTCATTTCATATTTTTACTTCTTGGATTCTACTTTGTTGGTTCTTTTTTCCAATTATGAATGGATACTTTCAGTTGTTTATTTTCTATTTGAGTTGTGCCACATTAACATATGAAGGTCTCCGAAATTTTGTTCCATCCATATAATTAAGGTCCACAATACTTTGAGGAAACAACTGTTCTCCAAACAATTTTGAGTACGTTCCAGCCTAAACGGCAAACATTCAGTCAGTGTTTTACTTCTATTCATAACATTTTCAGTGGTTAGTTTTTCAAAAGTGGGCTGCCTCATGAAACTAGAAAACATCAAATAGAAATTATCTCAATCTCTTGCCTTCTCACCAAAAATTATCTTTAATCCCTTTTTACCTTTATGCTATCCTGTACAAACTATTAAAACATATACAGAGCTCCTATTTAAATTTGAATACTGCACATGTGCTCTGCATACAACTGTGTCCTCAATAATTTTACTTCATTAATTATCATTTTATTAGGTCATTATTCTTTATGTTTGTTCTGATATGGTGCTATAGGAAAACACTGGTCTGCTAACTGCAAGGCTGGCAATTCAAACCCACCAACAGTTCTCTGAAAACCCTATAAAAAATCACCATGAGTTAGAACCAACTTGATAGCACTTAACAACAAAAACAACCTTAATTTTTGAGCAGAAGCTCCACTATTATTCAATCTAGAGCCAAAAAAGACCAAAAAGAAAATAAAGCATTGGCCCCACTTCAATTTCAGCAATCACCTAGTCCTGTCTTTAGTTTAGTCTTAACCTCACTTACACTCTGCCATGTTCCCTCAAAATCATATTAGCTAATTTATTTTTCCTACAAATATTTCTCTTATATCTTTAATGTGTATGTGTGTTCTCCCTCTCTCCTATTTTATTCCCTCTGGAATTTAAACATGATCAATCTCCTCCTATCTTAAAAAAAGGTACCCTTTCTCCCATATCCCCCTTAATTGACTAATTTGATCCTCACAGCAGCCTGTGAGGTAATATTATTATTTCCTTTCAAGCATTTCAAGACCTATTTAGAAATGCAATGTTGCCTGTGATAGGATAATATCCATATGCCCACAAGGAATATCAGGTAATACTACTATTATTCAAACTTATACATCAACCATTAAAGCCAGTAATGAAGAAATTTAAGAATTCCAACAACTTCCTCAGTATAGAATTGATAAAACATGCAATCAAGATGCACTGATAATTAATTGTAATTGGAATGACAAAACTAGAAAAAAAATGAAGAATTGGTAGTTGGAAAATATGATTCTCATGATATAAACAATGCTGAAAATCACATGATACAATTTTGCAATACCAGTGACTTATTTATTCATTGAAAATACCATTTTTCAACAAAATAAACAGCAACTATGCACAAAGATCTCACCAAATGGAGTACACAGGAACCAAATTGACTACATCTGAGGGGAGAGAAGATGGAAAAGCTCAATATCATCAACCAAAACATGGCCATAGTATGACTGTAGAACAGACTATCTATTGCACGTATATGAGTTCAGGCTGAAACTGAAGAAAGTTTTTAAAAAGTTCATGAGAGCTAAGACATGACCTTATTTCAAGAACAGATTTGATGCATTAGACACTAATTGTTGTGGGAGGATATCAAGAATATCACACATGAAGAAAGTAAAGTTTATTTAAGAGATAGGAAAGAAAAAAAAGATCAAAGTGGATCTCAGAAGAGAGTTTGGAACTTACTCTTGAATGAAGCAGCTGAAAGAAAAGAAGTAAAAGAGTTGAAAAGTAAATTTCAAAGGGCAGTCCAAAAAGACAAAGTTGGGTATTATGATGAAATGTACAAAGATTTGGAGTTACAAAACAAAAACGAATAAAAGGCTGTACATTTCTAAGTTGAAAAATCTGAAGAAAACATTTAAAGTCTCATATTGCAATATTGAAGAATTCTATGTATCCCCAACCAGATGAACTGGTACAGTAGCAACAGCAGTGGGCTCAAGCACAACTATTGTGAGAATGATGGAGGATCAGTGTTTTGTTGTATTATGTATAGGGTCACTATGAGTTGGAGCCAACTCAATGTCACCAAACACCACCACCACCAGTGGACAAAATATTGTCTGATGCAGGAAGCAAGAAAGAAGTTGGAAGGGATACACAGAGTTACCGTATCAGTTGTATTGATTGATATTCAATCATTTCAAGAAGTACCATATGATAACGAGCTGATGGTATTGGAAGAAGACATCCAAGTTCACTCAAGGCATTGGTGAAGTAAAAGGCTCCAGGAACTGACTGAATATAATTGAAGTCTTTCAACAATCTGAAGTAGTGCCATAGGCACTCCTTGTCTATACCAAGAAATTCGGAAGATAGCTGCCTGGCCAACTAATTGGAAGAAATACATATATTTGCCCATTCTCAAGAAAAGTGACTCAACAGAATGTGGAATTCGTTGAACAATGTTATTATGTTATCAATATCACATGCAAGTAAAACTTTGCTAGAGACATTTTTTCTTCAAGTGCAGCAGTATATTGACAGGGAGATGCTAGAAATTAAAGCTGGATTCAGAAGATGACATGGAACTGGGGATACAATTGCTGATGTTAGATGGATCTTGGTTAAAAGCAGAGAGTACCTAAGAGATGTTTGTTGTTGCTTTATTGACTATGCAAAAACATTTGATTGTGTGGATCATAACATTACAAAGACTGGGTATTGCAGAACACTTCATTGTTCCCTTGTGAAACCTCTCAAAAGACCAAGAAACAATTGTTAGACAGAACAAGGGGACATTGAATAATTCAAAATCAGGAAAAGGTTGTCTCCTTTCACCATACTTATTCAATGTATATGCTGAGTAAATCATCCTGACACAGGAAGCATCAAATGAATGTGGAAGGAATATATAGATTCATTGTAACAAATTGTATTGATCAATGTTCATCATTTCAAATACCATATGTTCAAGAACTGATGGTATTATAGGAAGTTGGATTATATGAAGAAGAATGTGGCATCAGGATATAAGGAAGAATCATTGACAACCTGCAATGAGCAAATGACACCACCTTGCTTGTTATATGTCAAGAGAACTTGGAATACCAATGAAGATCAGACTACCGTTTTCAGTATGGGTTGCACCTCAGTGTAATGAAAATTTTCACAACTAGACAAATAAATGGCATCATAATAAGAAAGGAAAAGATTGAAGTTTTCAAATACTTCATTTTTGGATCCATAATCAACACTCATGGAAGCAGTAATTAAGAAATCAAATGATGTATTGCATTAGGCAAATCTACTGCCAAAGACATTGCTAAAGAACAGTGTTGTCACTTTGAGGACTAAGGTGTGCCTGACCCAAGCCAAGACTTTTTCAATTGCCTCAAAAGCATGACTGAATAGAGAAATAACTAGTAAAGAGGACTCTCATAAAGCCTCTGCTCTGCTTTATGAGTCTTCGTTTTATTCCTGTGTTTCTATAATAGAAAATACTATGTCAGTGATTGGAAAAGGATCTACCCCCATAAAATTACAAAAAGGTGCTATGCACGTCGACAGTCATGAACCACAATTTTGTGAGTATATGTGTGTGCATATAAGTATGTGATTTCCATGTAAGTGTGCATGTGTGTGGTTTAGTGTGTTTTTGTGAAGGCAAGTGAGTGTGAGTAGATATGTGTGTGTGTGTGACCATAAATGTGTGTGTGTGTGTGTGTGTGTGTGTGTGTGAGTGACTGGATTTATATGTGCATATGAATATGTGTGCGTGTCTTTTAGTGTACATTAACTGAGTTGATCTGCTCAGAGTTTTCACCCATGTTACAGAAAATGAATAATTCTGACAAATTATTTGCTTAATCAAAATGTATCTGTCATCACTTTAATCACTGTGTATTTACAGATTCATCAATATTCAAATGCCACGCTGGATTCATGGGGCAAGTGAACAATGTGACGGAATTCATTTTGCTTGGCCTGACAGAGAACCCAAATGTTGAGAAATTCTTGTTTGCGGTGTTTACAATCATCTACCTGTTCACCCTGGCAGGCAATCTACTCATTGTAGTGACCATCACCACCAGTCCAACCCTGGGAACCCCCATGTATTTTTTTCTGTCTTTCCTGTCTTTCATAGATGGCATCTTTTCTTCTACCATGGCCCCCAAATTGATTATTGACTTACTAGCCAAAAAGAAAACAATCTCCTTCAGTGGATGCATGACTCAACTCTTTGCAGAACATTTCTTTGGAGGAATTGAGATCATTCTACTCACAGCGATGGCCTATGACCGCTATGTGGCCATCTGCAAACCTCTGCACTACATGACCACAATGAACCGGAAAGTATGTGGCCTTCTGGTGGCCCTGGCCTGGGTTGGGGGCCTTCTTCATGGTCTGATTCAAGTTCTTCTTATAGTTTGGTTGCCCTTCTGTGGTCCCAATGTTATTGACCATTATTTCTGTGACCTTATTCCTTTGCTGAAACTCACTTGCACTGACACCCACATCTTTGGACTCCTTGTTACTGCCAACAGTGGGGTGATGTGTATTATCATTTTCTCTATTCTCATTAGTTCCTATGTCCTCATTCTTTGCTCCTTAAGAACTCACAGCTCTGAAGGACAGAGAAAGGCTCTTTCCACATGCGCCTCCCATATTACTGTAGTCATATTATTCTTTTTACCTTGTATGTTTGTGTATGTTCGACCCATAGTCACCTTCCCCATTGATAAGATTGTGTCCGTGTTTTTTACTATGGGCACTCCCATGTTAAACCCTTTAATCTACACCCTCAGAAATTCAGAGGTGAAAACTGCAATGAGGAAACTCTGGAGCCACAGAATGTTCTAAGGTAAAAATTCATGTGAATTTAGAAGATAAAAACAAAATTTATTCTTATTTATGAACAAGTATGGCTAACGCATGGGATAGTAGCCTTAAAGCCAATATATGTGGATTGAAATATATTTTGTTCTCCCTGCTATCTGGAATTTTTAATGGATACTCTCTCACAAAATGTCGATTGATTTAAAAATTATTAGAATATCCTCCAGTTAGAAATTTCTTTACATTTACAGATTATTGGTCAAAAGCATTGCTAACCTATATTAAAATTTTATAACATATTCTAAATCCATGGTACTATGTATTCAATGGAATAATTGAGTTCAAAATTTCAAATATAGATTATATAATCAATAAGTATTCAAATTTTTAAACTAAAAGACCTGATAGCTAGGTATTTTGTTGCAAATTAGTATTTTTATTCTTAACATACAAATCAAACAGAACTGAATGGATTTTGAGGAATGAGAGAGAGAGATTTCGTTAAGGCAGAGATTACCCCAAATTAATGTTACTCCCTTCCCACCTGAAACAAAAACACCTGCTTCAATTATGTTGATTCTGACTCATAGTGACTCTTTAGAACAGAGTAGAACTGATTCTTACTATTTCTGCTGTTAAGTGCTGTCGAGTGAGTTTCAACTCATAGTGATTCTATATATGGTTTCCAAGAAGTAATTGGTGAGTTTGAACTGCTGACCTTGTAGCTACCAGTCTATCCTACAGTGCCACCAAGACTCCATAGAATTTCTAGACTATACATATTTTTGGGAGTAGACAGCCTGATCTTTCTCAGCAACAGCACTGGTGGGTTTGAACCAGAGACATTGTAGTTATCAATGCTTAACCCATTATATCACCAGGAATCCTTGCACAGTTCCTGAGGGCACCATTACAGTTAGGACTCTACGCTGACTAAACTATTTTTTCTTTATAAAGGCAAAGAGGAATATTAAAAATTTCCAGATACAGAGTCATCTGGCACATGGTAACCTCAGACAATACTGGTGGAACACATTTTCTGTCAATAACAGACTATCAAACACTTCCAAGATATCTTAGAGTGAGTTTGAACCACTGACCTTGTAAGCACTTACCCTATAGCTCCACATCAGGATATGGTACATTTCAAGATCTATCTTGAAGTACAATGGTGTCTGTGATATGATAATACCCATATATCTATACAGATGACTAAATACCACAATTATTCAAAATTTCACACCAACCACTAAAGCCAGTGATGATGAAACTGAAGACTTTTCTACCAATTCTTTTCATCTGAAATTGATCAAACATGCAATCAAGGTATGTTTATAATTATTGGTGATTAGAATGCAAAAGTTGGAAACAAAGAGAAATAATCAGTAGTTGGAAAATATGATCTTGTTGATAGAAAGATAAATATTGAATAATAGATTTTGCAACACAAGTAATCTATTCATTGTAAATGTTTTTTTCAGAAACATAAACAGCTATTATACAAGAAAACCACACCAGATAGAATATACAGGAATCAAATTTACTACATCTGTGGGAAAAAGCAATGGAGAAGCTTGATGTCATATGTCCAAGCATGGTCTAAGACCACTGTGGAACACATGATCGATTACTCATATGCAAGTCAGGCTGAAGCTGAAGAAAATTAAAACAAGTCCACAAGTACCAATATATGATCTTAAGTGTATTCCACCTAAATATAGATATCTCAATAACAGATTTGATGCATTAGACACTAATGACCAAAAACCGGATGAGTTGTAGGATGACGTAAGAACATCATATAGAAAGGAAGCAAAAGGTCATTAAAAATACAGGAAAGAAATAAAAGACCACAATGAATTTCAGAAGAGATTCTTAAACTTGAAGCTAAAGCAAACAAAAGAAATGAGAAAGTAAAATAGATGAACAAAAAATTTCAACGGTCAGCTCAAAATGACAAAGCCATGTATTATAATGAAATGCACAAAAATCTGAAATTATAAAAGCAAAATTGTGTTTAGCATTCTTCAAGCTGCAATATTGAAGGATTCTTGGAGCAAAATATTGATTGGTGCAGGAAGAATCATTAGATCAAGGGAATATATAGAACCACAATACCAAAAAGAAATGATTGATATTCAACCAGTTCCAAAGGTAGTATATGATCGTCAGTGATATTGAAGGAAGACGTCTAAGCTACACGGAAGGCTCCAAAAACTGCTGGATACAAGTTGAAATCTTGCAGCACACTGATGTAGCATTAGAGGTGCTCACTCAACTATACCAAGGAATTTGGAAGACCAATACCTACCAACCGATTGAAGGATATAGATATTGTGCCTGTTCCAAAGAGAAGTAAACCAACTGAATGTGGAAATCGTTGAACAAAATCATTAATATAGAGTGCAAATAAAATTTTGCTAAATGTACTTTAAAAATGATTGCAACAGTGTATCAACAGGAAATGCCAGAAATTCAAGTAGGTTTCAGATCAGGACATGGAATGAGGGGACATTGCTGACATAAGGTGGTTCTTGACAGAAAGCAGAAGAAAACCAAAAGATGTTTATTTGTGCTTTACTGACTATGTAAAGGCTTTTAACTGTGTGAATAGTGACAAACCATGGATAGAATTCTGAAGAATCACTATTTCAGAACTCTTAATCATGCCCATGAAGAAAATCTGTCTTGGAAGAAGTGCAGCCAGAATGTTCTTGAGAAGCACCAAGATGGTGAGAGTTGTCTCTCATACTTCAATAGTATTTGCTTCCATTCCCTCTGTTTTTGTTTTGTTTTGTTTTGTTTGGGAGGGGTTTTGGGGAAGTGTACACAAACACACTCAGGAATATATAATAATTTAAACAACCAAAGGGCACATTCTGCAAGCCTGCCTCCTGGATTCCAGCACTCAGTCCCTCTCTTTCCATGAGTCTAGAGTCCTCAGCTCCTCCCTCTATCCATGTCCTCATCTCTGTCTCCATCTCTGGTGTTGCTGCTTCTCTGGATAGGGTCGTGCATTTTGCTTGTGCTCTTCTCCCTTGATGGCTAGGATTAACTACTCCCCCGTTTTTCTTACAAAATTTCTACTTTTACAGTTGTGACAGTCACAATTAATCATGATAACAAGTACTCACTATTGAATCATAAGAATCTTATCCCCATCTCTTTTAGCCAGAGCCATCTAGACAAGATGAAAACTATTCAGTTGGGACTCTATCTTCTCCTGCACACTGTTAAACTAAACTCCCTCTTGAAAACTTGTAAACCAGGCATTTCATGCCATGATTATCCCCCTCACTTTAGGTAGCCAATTTCTAAATTGCCCATCCTTATCTACCCTGTATACAGAGGGAATAGGATTGACACTTGATGTGAAGACTCCTCTCTCTGTTACAGACCTGAGTTATCTTTATGATCATTAGAAAGTTTAGATCTGTTGTTGGACCTATTATCAATCCAGCTCATTAAGGGTTTCCCTCATCTACTATGTCCTATATTAAATATGGAATTTGAAAAAGAAAATAAAAACAGTTGCCATGGAATCAATCACAACTCATGATAACCCCAATGCATTTCAAAGTAGAATGGTACAAAGGGTTTTCAATAACTGTGACCATTTTGGAGTGGATCACCAAGGCTTTCTTTTGTGGTGCCTCTGGATTGATTAAAACAGTTACTCAGCCTTTTGGTTAGTAGCTGAAAGGCTACAGCCCGGATGCATACCACTGTCATTTCTAACAATAAAATCATATTTTGTAACTACTAATACTTTTTCTTTGTTATAGCATTCCCACTGTAACCACCTGTAATTTTCAATGCATCTTGAGTGAATGTTTGATCAATTTCAGAATGTGTAACTTGGTAGAAAACTTTCATTTATTTTTGGTTTTAGTGGTAGATGAGTAATTTGAATAACAGTTGTATTAACAAATCTTTTTTTGGGGGAGGCAAATGGGTATTATTTTATTATCAATAGCATTGTACTTGAGAATAGATCTTGAAAAAATAATTGACAATGAATGTGACATAATTTCTCTTCAATTTGTCACATCAGCATAGTAAATTATATGAGTGTCTGATTCAAAATGGCCACTATTAATCCAACACAGCTCAACAATACCCAGGATATTGATCTTTTTGCATTTTGTTTGTTTGTTTGTTTTCCAACTTCCAATTTCCCCATAGTCTACGTAATACAGTCCATGTTCTGATTACGAATGAATGTTTGCAGCTGTTTCTTCTTTATTTGAGTCAAGCAACTTCAGCAGTTTTTCCCCAGTTGCATTTTGAGTGCTTTCCAACACATATTCTAATACTAAATAAAACAATGTTCCACTGCTGTCAGTTTTGTTGTTGTTGTTATGTGCCATCGAGTCGGTTCCGACCCATAGTGACCCTGAAAATCTTTACGGGAGTAGAAAGCCTCATCTTTCTCCCGAGGAGCAGCTGGTAGTTTCGAACCACTGACGTTAAGGTTCGCAGCCCGAACATTGGCTATTTTCAGAAATGGGCTGCTTCTTCCTTCTTCTTATAATAGGAAGAAAGAAGAGTCAATAAAATAGAGACCATCAAAGAGTATTTCTCTCAAACTCAAGCCTTCTCACATAAAATTGTATATAAAATCCCTTTACTTTTATGCCTTCTAAAACATAAACAAGGGCTGCTATTTGATCTTGATATCTACAAACATACTCCACATACAACTGCCTTCTCAAAAACTTTTACTCCAGTAATTATTTTTTTTATCATTATGTTTGAGCTGAAGTTCCACTCTTACTTAATCCAAGACCAAAATAAATAATAAAAAAAAACAATGCTTCCATTTCCAATCTCAGAAACCACTCAATTCCATTCTTAGTTTACACTCAACCTCAGTCATACTCTGCCTTTTTCCACCCAAGTTATATTCATTTATTTCCCTTTCCAATATATTTCTGCCTATATTTTTAACTTGTGTGTGTGTCCCTCTCCTCTCTTCTAGCTTCTTACCTGTGGAATTTAATCTTGAACAGCTTCCTCCTACC